ATATATATATATATATATATATCTTGATTTATTTATCTTATTGAATTTTTAATTTCTGTTTTCTTAATCTACAATAGGATTATTTGATAGAGTATTTGCAAATTCTAATGTTTTTTTTTTTTTTTTTTTTTTTTTTTTTTTTTTAAAGTATCATTAGAGCATATTAAATAGTAATTATTTATAGATAGAAGATTAAGACCGTTTACGCATGTGCATAAAGTACATTAATAATTAATATTTAGCAGAGAGTTTTTCTTCAGTGTACTAGTACGGAAAGTATTTATTTATTGTTTGTCTCTTATGATTTCATAAGATTTCAGCGATATTTCAAAAATGTATTTTGAAGTGATAAAGCGATTAAAAAAAAAAAAAAAAAAAAAAAAAAAAAAAAAAAAGTAGGACGATCTTCTCGTTCGATATAACATGAAATATTAAAATTCTCGTTTAATATCAATACTTTTTGGCACTTGCATATCGTAAAATAACCTCTCTTAAGCTACAAATAATTCAGGCTTTCAAATTTCAAAAATCTTCAGCATACGTTATAAATTATGAAAAAATAATACCCGAATTTCACCTCAAACGTTAATAAATCAGACTGGCATTGCTTGGCTCTTTTAAAAGCCTTGCCTTTGGTCACGAAAGGTAGCGTCGAGATTCCTGATGCTCAAATATAAAAAAAAAAGAAGAAAAAAAGAAGAAGAAGAAGAAGAAGAGGAAGAAGAAGAGGAAGAAGAAGAGGAAGAAGAAGAAGAATAAGAAGGAAAAAAAGAAGAAGTATGAAGAAAAACCCGATTCTCGAAGCGAGCTACATTCGGTTAAAGAATATTATTCAAAGCGAAAGAAAACACGGTCCACGTTGAAATAACCGAATTTTCCACCTTGGCAATAGGCGAACCAACTAGCTTTCGTAGCCTTAGTGTTAGTGTGCCTTAGCGAGCATCGATCACACTATTCATCGCGAAGAAGAAATTGCCTCTTTGTTTACTAATCAAATTTGCATGTCCGATGCATCTTTCTCTTGGCTTTCTACTTGACGGCAGCCGAATCTCGAGCACCTGCACAACCAAGAGAATCTTTCTCGCGAAGACTTTCTCGCGCCGACGAATATTCTTACGCATTATCGTTCCACTTTGAGCGCGACTCCCGGAATGAAACGTAGACGGAGGATGTAAGTATCTGCAGTTCGTAAACACGTGTAGTTCGGACGCGAAATCGAAAGCTGATTATGCATTTTAAGCGTAGTACGAGCATCTTAAAAGGCTTATTTCAGTATTGGTAATTAGGTAATTCGAAATTCCCGAGGAGCACATCTAGGAAATTTACATAAATCCGTATTTCTCGTTTACTCATTTCTCCACTTAGCTATTCAAATTGCCACTTACGTACTGATTAGTCGGAAGTTTATCTAATAATACGGCGAGCTGCTCGATGATACGTAGATTCCTTCAAATATTTTGAAATAGTACGATTTAAGTGAGCCGAGTTTCATTTTATTCATTTCATTTTATTCTCACCTACTTTGAAGACGTGGTATTTCATTTGAAGCAAAATAATTTTTAAATTACTCGTTAAGAGCCCATAATAATGATTGAAATCATTCGCATTTACTTTATAATAACAATTCTCTATAAATATGCCCCAACTATATATTTACGAATAAATTGAGCTATAATGGAACGACGAACTGTTAATTAATATGAAATTAAGTTATAACAAAATTTTACTCGCAATGAAAAATTTATATTAAAATAACTTTTCTCAGAAATAGACAAACACTTAAATCAATATAAATTTATGCATATATAATGGAGTACGTCGTTTATAGTTTAACTAATAATTAGACTATGATTAAATTTAATTTCATAAGCCATTCTCTTTACTCGTATTTCATATATGATTTCTTCAAGCATAAGAATTTTCATAGTTTTTATTTTGTTTTTTTCTTGTTTTTTTTTTTTTGTTTTTTTTTTTGTTTTTTTTTTGTTTTTTGATTTGTTTTTTTTTTTTTGTTTGTTTTGGTTTATAACGAAGGTATTATATACATACTCTTTTAGAATTATTTGCCAATCTAATCGATAAATTGAAACAAAAATTTTTAATTTTACAACTAATTGTTATTATATTCTTGAGTTTTCAAGTATTTCATCATTTGGACTTGTATTACAAATTTCATCACAATTTGCTAGGTATTATACTTTCATAAGAAAATAATAAATTAGTATATAACTTTTCTTTGAAATGTAATGGTGCTGAAGCACTAGTTATTAAAATTTTGCATTCAATTGAAATTTAATTACGGCTATTTTACAATACATTATGCTAATATATTATCTATATTTTCGTATATTAATTTGTTGGAAAATGTTGATTGAAATAATAATAATGCTTGGTCGTAGAGATGGCTTTTGAAGCTCCAAGGAAATTTTAATATTTCACATTATTTGAAGACTTTAATCAAGCAATTGTCATCGAAAATACATTAGAACATAAATATAATAGTACATCTCGACATTTTATTGACGACAGAACGTTGTTTATCAATGAATTATAATTGTTTTTCATGTGCGTGTGCGTGTGCGTGCGTGTGTGTGTGTGTGTGTGTGTCATTTACACATTACACTAAGAGCCGATGCGTATAGACCGAAGTCTTGATCAACTAGTCGAATAAGATCATTAGGCTATCTATAGCGGCGGTGTTCGCTTAGAATATTTTTCCTAGAGACTTTCTCCTCGTATGCATTGAAAATAAAAATCAAACAGATTGTTCGCGGCGATAGAGTCCTAATGACGATGAGTCCCGGCTAATTCACATTCCGTAAAGCCAACAATTTTGATATAAGAGGACACTCGATGGCGAAAAATCATTCGTTTCTCTAAGCTTAAATAATAATTTTCATTTTTTGGAGATGAACAATTGACTGCTTGCAAATGATGAATACGATCACATCAATTGGAAACATTAAATGTTCAAATGATTCAAAGTCGATGCCAAATAATATCACACTATTTGCGCATTAGTATACAGATACAGTCACGTTGTTTTTTCCATAATTGTTGAGCGATGGATTCGCTTCTTTGGCAATCGTTCGACACATTGTCAGAACAGTGAAGCTGTGCCTCGATTTTACAGCAGAACATTTCAAACGTGCAAATTATTTAAAATAATAAAATAATAATGTTGATTCTCTATCAGTATATTATAGCGAGAATATGGTTACATGATTGAATTAATGATTGAATAGGCTACGTAGAAGCGTTCCACCCGCGCATTAACAAGATCTCAGCCTAATCAAACATGTCGATTAAAGAGTGAGTGAGAGCGATCAAAGTCAACGTTGTTAGCGATCTCGCAAATTCACGACTTCGCCATCATCGTCGCTGTCCCCCAAAGTTATTTAATCGCTGATTGCTCCGGCTCTTGGCTGCTTGGTTTGCCAAGTTCTTGCGACACGTTGGCGAAACGCTTGACCCGTGGACCTTTGAGAATAGAGTCGTGTGCATTCCATGTAAGGAACAACGGGCGTCACGATGAATGCTGCAACATGCATCGGTAGTTTGCGCGCGCGCAATATGCGAGATGAAAACACACGGGCTAGAGAATTTTGTTCTTTCATCGCTGGCGCAGCGAACGCGTCGCTTTTGCTTTTTATTTTGCCGATACCCTCGAGCTCAAAAGCAATTGTTGCATTACAAACTTTGCTCCCAATGTTCATTTCAAATGTTCATTTGTCACGAATGCCAGTTAATAGTATCTTTTGATAAACTTTAATGTTAATTTTGTAGTTTAAATCCGAGTTTTCTCAGCCGCCTATTTTCATCGATATTAATTATATTTACAATAGCTCGATGGAGTTGGATTTTTTGTATCTCGCGACTTTACGATTATTAACGTTATTTTACTCCATTTCCTCTCTTTGTCCCATTTTGCCGTAGATATTTAATCTTGCAAGATATTTAATTTTGCAAATGTTACATCCCTCTTCTCCATACTATTCAAGAATTTATTTTTCAAATATATTTGAAAAATAAATGGAATTATTATAATTGTTTTACAAGCTTATATATTATCATATTGATATCGTATTAATGACGATCGTGACTCGTTGGCACGATAGCCATGTTAAAATCTGCATCTCGAGGTAAAATATTTTTAAAACTCTCTTCTATTCTCGCATTTCATTAAACAATTATTGTTGTTTTGACATAGTTATGAAAACCCAATTTATTTGGAACATTGTTAATAACTTAGGCCATTCAATTTATAATATTGTCCCGATCGTATTTATGCTGTTATTTATCTTTATTTATAGTCGCTTGTAAATTTACCTGATGATTTAAATAATTCAAATGCAATGATTTTTACACTTTTGCCTTTTTACATTTATTATATCGATTATTAGATAATTTGGAAGAATAATGAATAATTGGCCCTTAAAATATCATTGTATTTTGTATTAAATTTCTCGTGATAAATAAATAAAAAAAATTAATGGCAATAAAAGTTAAATAATAAAAAGAAAAAATTATATGCTTTATAAGTAAAGATGTAATTAATGTAATTACGTTGTTAATGCCTTATATCATGTACTAAACGAGCGCCCGTAATAATCGATGGATAAATTTTATTAATTAATTATAATGGCCATTTTATGTATAGAACAATATTTTTGCCTAGATGAAAAGAAAAAAAAAAAAGAAAAAGAAAAAGAAAAAGAAAAAGAAAAAGAAAAAGAAAAAAAAAAGTAATTTTCATTTATTTCTCTTTCAATACAATAAACACCTTTCGAATATATAATGAGCCAGTAGTATTCGAATGCAGAGGTAGTCACTGTACGTTAGATATGTAATCGAGAAAAGTTAATCCGTCGAATTGTAACCTTGGTACAAAGGCTCAAGTGCCGCACAATAATCGTAAAAATAATATAGCGAGGCTTGATGGTAATTGCCGAAAGATTCCCGATAATTCGACGAACTAATGAGTCAATTTGGAATTTCAGGGCCAAAGGAATTCAACTACAGAGGCCACAACTTGTTCTTCAGCGGTCACGTACCGGCTCATGCAAATCAGAAAGTCGACTGGTTAGACGCTAGAAATATCTGCAGAGAATACTGTATGGATCTCGTATCATTGGAGACGCAAGAAAAGAATAATATGATCTTCAGGCTTATCCAGCAAAGTATGTAGCAACACCGTAATTAACATTATTATAGAATTACGCAAACACTCGGTTAAGAGTGCTAAAAGCAAATTGAAAACAATATAATAATTTATTGAAAACTTTTAGCAATTTAGTGGATTATTAAAATAAATAAATAAATAATAATAATAATAATAAATAAATAAATAAATAAATTAATTAATTAATTAATTAATAAATAAATAAATAAATTAATTAATTAATTAATTAATAAAGAAAAATAAAAAATAAAGAAAAATTGCTTGTATCGAATGGGGAAAAATTAATAGCTCAAAGCATATAATGGGACATACTAAATTGTGTAAGAAAGTCACTCGTATACATGCAATTTGTAACGTTAGATAATTACTTTTTTCCTTTCATATCTGCATATATATATATATATATAAGAATAAAAAGAATAAAGTTATCACATTATCTTCGAATGGTTGTGAAATGTTTGTTATTAAGAAAGAAATCTATCGTTCGAATTCACCTTAAATATGAAAAAACTCGCGTTGATTTTATTACTTGATTTAATTTCTTGCGCATTTATAATCATAAATTATAAAAAAATTATAAGAATTATAAGATGTGGAAGAAATGTCAGGATAAAGCTTGAGAAACGTATTGAACTCCAATATATTTGGACAAGGCTCGGTGCAGTCGACGAGCCGCACAAACAGATTCACGCGAGCAATGAATTTTAAAGGCAAGTCCAACGTTATTTAGTGACAAGTCAAAAGCGCCAATTAATGCCATTGATCCTCTTGTCCCGTACGAAATTCTCACAGCGTAGCTAAAAAATCCGGCCCAAATTCAAACCCGACTCGAAACAATGGGACACGCGTCGATTTTTTTAACGAAGCCACGTAATGTAACGTGATCCTTCCTTAGATTCCCGTTAAGTCATTCGTCGCTGATTTGCATAGTAATACGATATGTCAGTCTGTCGGTCGCGTGAAATTTTTCACTAACACGGCCCCGCCTAACCTCTGAAATTTCATCCGCGATGCCATTCGAACAAACGACATCGGAAAAGTGTGCAAGGATAACCGAAGGCTTCTCGAGCGCCGACCTCGAGAAATGTCCCGAATTCGTTGCCCAGGCCTTTTATGTGCACCAGCAGTCGCTAAATTTGTGCGTAAATTTGTGTAAAGGACGTGGGCAGTGGGCCCTCAAGCTTATATCGAAACCTCCTCGACCCGAAGGACCGTTAACACCGAATTTTCAAGGCTACATCGCCATCATCTTCGACTTTTTTCTTCTTTTTTCTTTTTTTCTTTTTTTCTTCTTTTATTTACCTCCAACTTCAACATCGCGCTATTCTTCGTCGTTACTTCCAACTTCTTATCGCGTGTAAATTACCTTACCATCCTGCTCGATCATTTCGTAAATTTACCTCGATCGCCCATACACTACGTTAGGATCATTTATTTTGTGCGCCCATTCGATTACTCTACGCCCAATCAAATTACACGATCGAATGTTTCCGGAACTAGTAAAGTCTATTTTACCATCGATGATTAAGCTCGCGTTTACAAGCCGTGTGGAAGTTTATGAAAAATTAACGTCCCTCGTGTCTCGTCCGCTAGACGAAAAATCTCCGTTCGTCTAATGTCTCCGGTGCAAGAGAGAGAGAGAGAGAGAGAGAGAGAGAGAGAGAGAGAGAGAGAGAGACATAAATAGATCGTCGATAAGCGCCGTTCTCCCCGTATATCGCGAAGCGCACACCTGCCCGAACTACAATCAATGGCCTCTCGGGTTCTCATCATCGCCGTCCCCCGATAACGAAAAGCATCGTTGGCTCGAACTTACGAACCTTCGCACGACTCTCGTAGACTCTCGTAATGTTTCTTTTCCCGTGGAACGTGAGGACGATCTGTCCAAGTGGCCGTCGTCACGGCGCGTGTCCCGGCCGCGCTTTTGTCATTTTATCGCAAACGCTTTCGTATTGCACGGCACAATGGCCGTAGAAAGTGCAAGAATAATTGTTAAATTTTCTGGTGCTTAATTTTATTTTATTTAGATTCTCGGCCGTTACGTGTCGCAAGATTCCCTACGGCTTTCCTGGGAACTCCTACAATCATTACCATAGTTTTCCAATCATAAATGACCTCATAACTTTCAATTTTAAAGAGAAAATTTATATGGGACTGGGATGGGACTGCTTGAGTCGGAAGTTTTTTCTCGGCTTATTTGTAACGGACTCTACGACTGAAATCGATACTTTCGACACACATTTCCTTTAATGGATAAATCTCGATGAAACTACTCGTTACAAAAATATCACATTCAACGTCAATTGGGAGACAAACTCGAAAAAAATATCTAACCAGAAGATTCTTTGTACTTTGAATTACACGTTAATTCTTTATACGTTGAATACTATTGAAAATACATTTGATCGGATGTGAACAATCGATTGTCAATACGAATTTTATATTGGAGAAGCTTCGATGAGCTTTAAAATCATAAGTATTTCTCATTTTTATATCTTATGGAAGAGACATCTCTGTGTCTCACATTATTTTTATTAATTCAAAGATTTCGTTATGTAACGCATTAGAATGAATCGATAGGTATAACTAAATTCCTTATTTATTCGATCGTTAGGGGGAAAAAGTATTTAATTTATCGCGATGATTCTTTAGTGGTAAAAAGCTTATTTGCATAAAAACTTTTTTACGATAGATCGAAAAATTTTATGTAATTTTTAATCATTGTTAGATTTAAATTAAAATTTAAACATTTCGATTGAAAATTTTTCAATAAATTGTCTATTATATTTCGCATAAATCGGAAGAATAATTTTTTTAAAATATTTTTCACATTAAAATGTTTAAACAGTAATTTGGTATTATTAATTATAGAAAAAACGACTTGGCGCGACTAGAAAAAAAAAAAAAAAACAAGAAAATTAAATTAATAAAAACGACAATCCTTTTGAATAATAACTGTTTTCGTTATAAATTTTTAAATGATCGAAAAACTAATAATAATTAAGCAATTCCTCAATAATCGTTAATCGTTCATTTTTTACCTAATGTATATATTTGTATAAATCTTAAATTGTCGTTTGTCTTTGTTAGGGGCACGCTTTTTTCAAGGTCTTATTCATATATTCGTTACCAATGACATTTTGTTTACAATTAAGACGAATCGCCTAATTTTTATGTAAATTTGTTTATAATAACACTTGTGTTGGATACTTCATAAAATTTTACATTATACATTATTACATTGCCTTAGATCATCAAGGATTACAAATATTAATAATATTCACATCGTTATCTTTGTGATAATCAATCATTGGTAATAATATGAAATTGCCGTGATTATCAATACACATAATAAATGTAACAACTTAAAAAATTACAATACTCGTTGTATAATAGAGTCATTAAATTTACAATGAAAAGTAATATTTTATCAAATATAAGATTATTTATTTTTAACTTAATCTTACCTTTGCAATTTATACGAATTAATTCCATTTATTTCCAAATAATCTTAACGTGATCTCGTCATTTACAATTCGTGCATAATATTTATATAAAAATTGCGTATAAATTTTCCATATATTGAAAATAATTTTAAACAGTTATATATATATATTTATTTATTTATATAATTCAGTAACAAAAACAAAAATCTTAATATTCAAATTAATGATATTTATTTAATATCATGCAGTTATAATTTATTTTATAACTTCTTCGTGTATATTAAATAAAAATTTTTTTTTCATTTATAATATCCTTTTAAGGTGAATATTTGTTGTAATTAATTGAAAAAATTTTTATTGATTTGGTACGGTACTTTTTTTTTTTTTAGAAAACTTGCTTTTAAGAAAGTAGGAAATGTAAAAATCGGTTGGAATAAAATTTAATTACTACGTTGAAACTCTTGACATAAAAATAAAATAGATAAGATTAGTTAGTAGTGGTTTGAAAATGTTTGAGTTTAATGTAATGAAGAGGAAGATGATAATTCACGATGTCAAAACCAATATATATATATATATATATATATATAACTGTTATTTCAGAAAATATATTCTTTTTTTTAAACACAATTTTAAATGATCCTGAAAATTTATTCAATATATTATACGCTTGGCTTGTGATAAATGGAATTAAAAATATACTTTTCCAGCCGCTCTATCATCCAATTTCAACTTGCAATTTAATCTGAAGGAGAATTTGCACAATAACGAAAACTTTGTTCAACTCTCGTAACTCTCTTGCAATATAAAGAGGATCGAAAGAGTGTCAATGTGTCGGTGCATTCATAAATAACCGAGGTGAAATCAATTCCAATCAGGTGGCAATTCAAATTACCAAAGACTTTCCTACCTCGCGGCATTTTTAGCTTGGAGCTTCTTATCCTGCTCCTTAAGTAGCTTTAAGTTGCCTTGGCGATTGCACTTGGTTACATCGATTGCATAATTTTCGCCACGAGAAAAAATCACTAACTTTCCCATGACCAGCTTCTCGCGGATGTGCATCCATTAAACATCTTCAAGAGCTTTGATATTTTCGCGGAGATTCGTTGCAAATGTAATTAAACACTGTTTTGTAATAGAAGAAGTATGCCTCTGTGTTTTTGATGCACATATCAAAGATCTTTAATATTCCAAAAAGATACCTCTTCAGATACCACTAAGATCGTTTACGTGAGTCATTAGTTTATCAATGATAAAGTTTATCGCTCTCCTCGAGATAATACATAATAAATTCACAATTCAATAATAATAATAATTAAATTACTAGTCGAATCTTTATAATCGAATGACAGAATTTAATTTTTGATATTTCACAACAGCTAATTCCATTAGTTGCTCAATAATTTGTAAAAACAAAAAGAAAATGTAATCTCAACAATTTGTTATCTATTGGCGTGTTAATTGCATCAACAATGCAAACGTAGCGAATTTAATGATCGACTATTGTGATCCAACATGCGCAGGTATTGGTTATTTTTACATGTTGCCGTACATCCTCACACAATCTTATCTATCGGCATTTTTATGGAGATGCCCTACTTTTGAGAATTCAATAACTTTTATTCTCTCTTTTGTATGATTCTCGCGAATATTAACCGATCGCTCCACATGGGCTCCGCATTTTTCATTCCCTTGGCAATGCATTTTGGCATCCAATTGGTATTAATTAATGCCTGAAGATATATTTTGCTCGTAAGTTGAAACAACCGACGTAATTGCAAATGAATTTTTATGAGAAATTGCATTGAGAACCGACTGAGGATCGTAAATCATCAAATGGGCCGTTAATACTCGTTGAAATTCATAGGGTGGAAATATTTCATTAAAGCCCACATGCGCAAATTCGACAATTTTGATCATGACTATTCAATAATTAAGTCTCGACGCGTGACCCCAATTATTAATATATGGATAGCGCATTTAATTGATGTATTCAGCGCGGCGATAAATCTGTAAGTATTTGAGAAAATAAATTAAAATGAATTTTAATTTAAGTAATATTTTACGAGTGCTGAAAAGAATATCCTTAAGGAGCACGCGTAATCCGCCAAGCAAATCAAAGATCATTAATGACGAACTTTCTCGCCCCTAGATGACGTGCCATACATCTGGACATCGGGTCGACTGTGCGACTTCAAGGGCTGCGAGAACCGTCGCGACCTCGAGCCCAAGTCGATCTACGGCTGGTTCTGGTCGGCCAACCGCGAAAAGATGGCCCCGACCAACCAGCTGCCCCTCGGCTGGGGTTTCAACCCCTGGTCCCAGACCGGCCACAAGAAGGTCCGCCAGCCGGACAATGCCGAATTCGACATTAACGGCACCCAGGAGTCCTGCCTCTCGGTCCTCAACAACGTCTACAACGACGGCATCGCCTGGCACGACGTCGCCTGCTACCACGAGAAGCCCTTCGTCTGCGAGGACAGCGAGGAGCTCCTCAACTACGTGGCGAGCACCAACCGCGGCATCCGCCTCTAAGCCCTCGGATCGCCCCCTTAAACGCTAGTTTAATGCTGAACGCGGAGACCCGCCGTTTTTTTTTTTTTTTTCTCTCCATTCTTCAGTTTCGCTGGTGGAGACGTTTTCTTGCCCAGAGCGACCCTTTCTTTTATCTTTCTCTACTTTCCTTTTCCACTTTTCTACCTTCAGGATGGACGCTCTCTTGGGAACTATTTTCGTTAAATCACGACGCTTATAATGGATGATGGAGCACAATGTATTAACCGATTAGGCAACGTACATTCCTATAGCCCGAGTGTTAATTACTTTTAGGATAATACTCTTAGTCCAATCATTTTCTAAGCAATCTTTATTTTAATACATTACACTCTTACATTATTGTTATTATAATCGATAAACTTTCTCCGAATAATTTAAAGGAACTACTACATTTAATGATTGTTTATATATAAATATATTAAGATACGCTCTCACTGTAAAATAACAATGTTACTACGCTCCCTAGGTAGTGTTAGTGGCCCGACATGTTGCAAATTTATGGGAAATTAATTATAATACGAAAAACAAATAGCGAACGATACAATAAAGGCTTCGATTGGATAAATTTCTTTGAATAAATCTCTCGCACACGATAATTAGCGTTAGGCAGTTTTCAGATTAATTTCTTCTTTTTTTTTCTTTTCTTTTTTTTTACACTTCAAACGCCTCTGTAGCTCTGTAGTCTTTTAATAATTAATCGAATATATATTTTTACGCAAAGAATGTAATTGAAAAATATGAGGCGCCGTAGATGCTTGATTTTTGTTTCAGTAAATTCTTACAAACTATCGAATAAATAATTTTTATTAAACATTTGCTGAACATCGTCAGATACTGAATTTGTATGTCACAAATGCACTTTAATCACAAAACTTCAATCAATCCTTTACACATTTTCTCTAATGCGTAATTTGTATTAAATATATAAAACATATTACCTAATTAAGGAGGTACGACATATATTTATTAATCGACAAAGAAACAACAATAAAAAGAAAAAGAAAAAAAAAAAACGATTCGTCACTTCGTCTCCGGTACATGCGCGAATAAACTGTATTAGAGCGAATTTTTGTAAAAATTCTCCTTTTTCTTTGCTCTTTTAATGTGATTCTTATTTCGTCTACAGTTGCGTCCGATTATACATTACATTGAAACGAGTAATTATATAAACATTAAATGTTTGACAGAAAAAAGAAGAAAAAGAAAGAGAGAACGTTATTGGAACATTGCACTTATTTTGTCGAAGGAACAAATCATCAGTTTTTCATAAAATCTATTCTTTTTGTAAAAAGTTTTATAGATATTCGTTTAAATACATGTTAAGTAAAACCATTAAAATAATGAAGTAGCTTTACTTATTTCTATCCTATTATAAACAAAGTATACAAAATACTTTTTAAAAAGTATACTACGCAATCTGTAATTTAATTACTTTCATTGTCTCCGTTTATACGTTTCTTTTAATTCGTAATTTCACTTTCCTCATCATCGTTGCCATTACTCTCGTTTACCACTTTCACACTTTTATCTTCATTTTCCTTCTTAATCCTTTTATCGTTCGCATCCTTACTTTCATTCTTACTCTTTTTCTTTTTTGTCTTATAATTTTTACGCGCATGTTTATTCTTATTCAATTTATTGCCATCTGAAATATCCTCCCATCCCTCTTCGTCCGACAATATGGAAGTTTCTTCATCAAAGTTTGAGATGCTCTCTGATTTTGTTGATTTATCCTGCTTTTCTTTTGACTTTCTCTCATAACGTTTTCGCGACTTACTCGAAGGCTTCAATTTCCGTTTGCGCGGTAAAGTAGTTGGATCTGTTTATAAATTATATAAAATGTAAAATCAACGAATAATAATACAATTTTTTAAAAAAATTTGTTTAAAAACTCACTAAATACTGAATTTAAAAATATATCCAAATTAAAATAAAGATTTTCTTTAGATAAATGCTTTGAACTATTTGTAAAATCTATGATTTATAATTTGCTTACCGTAAAGTTTTCACTTTTTCAAATCATATATTAACTAGACAATTATTGTTTTTTAAACTTGTCTGACTTAAATCTAATTGCTTTACAGATTAGTTTTTAGAATGTAAATGACAATGCATTACCTACTAAATAAATAAAATTTTCAAAACTGATTAATCTACTCACGGTTTTCTGGTATATTCATCAATTTTCGAAGCTCAATGCGAACTTGCTTGTTGATAATTTCTCTACACAAATCATCAAAGCCAACGGGTAGCCAACCTAATTTTTCATGACATGGTGTGCCAGGTGGAGGGCCCACGTACTTGTCCAACATATCTTGTATCTCCTTAACGTGTACATCACAATACTGTTTATGGACATAAAGTGCAGTTATTAATTGTATACAATTGAAATATTTGAATTTGATAAACAGTAAGAACTCAATTTGTTATAAACAATTATAATTTTAAATAATGTTTATAAAAATTTATTTATTTTGTAAGTGGTGAAGGTACCTGATAAAACATTTGTCTGGAGGGTGGAATTATACCTGGACGATATATATAAACATTTTCGTTTATCATCTTTTGCTTCTTCTCCGTTTGTAGTTTATTCGTATTGGACATTAAAATAATTGCCTTAGCTTTAGAGTTTGAGGTATTTCTATATGGCAATGTATATTCCGAGTAATTTCGCTTACAAGTAATATTCGAATGCAATCCATCTGAAGTAAACATACAGTTCTTTAATTGTTAATAAATTACAATAATAAAGAAATAAAATACGATGCTTACGCATTGCTTTTAATCTATAATCCAGAGTTTGGTATTTTTTAGCTTCAGGATCTTTTCTAGGATCGTAACCAAGTCTGACCCAGGTTATACGCCATGGCCCAGTCATAAAATAATAAGCAACGGAGGGTAATAAAATTTTTAATTGTTCATTGGAATATTTTGTAATATACATTAATGCAGTTTTTGACCAAATGGGACGATCTTCGAATGCTTTACGCATCTTTTCCACGTGGCTTTTTTGTAGAAATTTCACTTTCATGGCGGTTTCAATACCTTTGGGAGGACTCGTTGGAACATAAGGAGTATTGAAGCTAATAAAGTTTGAGAAACCTGCTCGTCGTTTTCTTGTCTTTCCTATCACATAGTGCGTGTCTGAATTTAACACTTCCGTCTTTGGAGTGTATTGCTGTACACTGTCCATTCGACTGAAAGCAGCTGGTGGTAAAAAATAAGGCACTTCGCTTTTCATCCAGCTAAAGGGTGGTAGACCAACTGGATAAATTGAATCATAAATACATTCATCTTTTGAAAGATCAGCTTCATTTTTAGTAATTGGCAAATATTGAAAATCACATAAATCTAAAATATTTGTAAACACGCGTTACTATATTGATTTGTTATATGTTTTAAATATTATAATAAATTAAGATATTCTACTAACTGGTAAATCGAAATTCCGTATCAACTCGTCCTAATACTTTTAATTTGGGTAATTCGTACTCCCGATCATCAGATAAATTTTCATACTTTTGGCAATTAAAAGTGGGCGGTTGATTTTTTTCTAAATCATTATTCTCATTATCTTCTGTTAATGTCTTTTGGCAATTAACAGAACAGTTTGTAATTTTATCGGTTAGGTCACTTATTGATCCATCATTAGCACCGTTAATATTATTAATGCCATTCACATCGTTATTACTAAGACTAGAAATACTTGAATTTATAATATTTGTGTCATTTTCCTTTTGCAAATTCTTGTTTAATTGTGATATTTTTTCTACTTTTTCTCTTCTGGATTTCTTAATTCTAACACGTAATAAAAATCCAGTCGTTTGATGTCGATCGCCGCACGCTGGCTTGCAATAACCATCGTCTGGCCTAAATCTTAGCTCCATTCTTCTATTTCTTGCATCTACGGTCTAAAATTATAGTTCTATTTACTTACATTCGTATATAATTTCTCAATTTATTGGTAAAAAAAAAAATTCAAATCATTTATTATATAATAATACGATATTTGTTATTGAATTTTACCGAAGAAATATCTGCTAGACCCCCCAAAGTTTCAATTGCTTTTTCTTGATTAACTACATTTCCAGGATATTTAATGCAAATTAACTTTCTATTAAAGCGATGTCCACCTGGAAGAATTGGTCCAACAAAATCTTCATTTGCTTTACTTTGTAATTCCTTTAGATTATTACTTTCTCCTTCATAATTCTAAAACAAATTTCTAATGTAAATTTACTAATTGATATCAATATATTGTTATAAATTTATATTTACGTTTTTTATAATATCGGCATCATTTATAAGTTCATTAAAAGACTCGTCGCTCTCAATATCATCTTGATAATCTTTGACATTAAATTCCTCGTCGTTTTCCACAAAACTGTCTTTGTCACTTATATAGCTTATATCACTCATTGTGGCTCATTGTTGGGTATTACTATCCCTCTAATTATTTGTTAATAAATTAAATAATCTTCGAGTTTATTTGAGATCGAAGAAACAATATTTATTGAGGTTAAGTCATGCTGTTGTATTTTCTATTGGTCGTAACTCACACAGTCTTACATCTCACAGAGGCGCATATGACCGGGTGATTGCTAATAGCTCGGGGCATATGAAATTTAATAGAAACATCCAATATCAAAGGTATTTTTTTTAATTTTTATTTGCATGAAGGACAACATTGCACACGTAATTGGATTATGTGTAATTAAATAGAGTTCCCATAGGTTTCACCCATAGGTTTCAATCTACGATAAATTACTATTATAAAAGTTTTAAAATTCCGAAATATTTTTACTTTCTGATACACGACGTTCAAAATATATTTGTTCATTAGCTCTTTGAATTTAAATTATTTTATATTAGAAATTATATAATTAATGAGACAGATAAAAAATTTAGCTGACAGTTTTGTTACGACATTTTGAGCATTTGATGAATAAAAACAATATAATAAAAATAATTTACGTAATAAAACCCAAGCAAACTGTTAATTAATAATAATTTTCTATATTAGAATAAAAGGTCCACGCTTATTAAAGATTATATTCTATATCAATGCAGTAAAAATGTAGATATTTTTTAGAGTATCCACATTTACCGTACTCCTCAATATTTACCAACAATTTTTATAATTATCAACAATTATTAAGTGACTTATGATAATTAATACTAATAAAACCCTTTTTTTTTTTTTTTTAAACAAAACTTAAGTAAGGTTTTTTTATTACACATCTTGTTGTACAATTTTTTAGTTATTTTAATGATTTGTAAATTTTAATCATTTCCTATGTTTAAGTTCGTTTAAATAACAAAGAACAATAAATCTATAATAATTGTACGAAATTATTTCTGTAATAATAAATAGATTTATGTAAATACACAGTATTCAAATATCAATCATTATTGTAATTTATAAAAAATGATTGCAATTTAAAGAAACCAAATATATAATTTAATAACAGTAGTCATAATAGAGAAAATAAATTGCAAGATCTTAGGCTACAAGTTCACAAAACTGAAACTGGAAATTAATGGAGCATTGTGCATTATAAGGTAGATATGACGATGATGAATTACGTATTATTGTAAATTAAAATGCCGAAAATCATTATCTGTCTATGTACTCGTGATGTTTATTCTCTTCATGATAATAGAGTTCAACTTAGATTCGAGTAAATTGAATCAGTAATTGATTGTTATAACAAGAAAATGGAACAAATAAATCAGATAACTATTGATCGGTAGGTTTTTATGATCAATGCAAAAGTACAGTACATGCCAATGCTCATTTAATTAATTTAAAGATTTGCGCGAATTACGTAAAAAATAATAAAAAAAAAAAAAAAAAAACATAAAAATTACTAAAGAATCTCATGTAAATTATAAAGCAAATAAGTAGAAACGATTGATAATATTTAAATATTTATATGATATAAATGACGAATGAAAGTGTTAATTATAATCGTAGCCCATAGTTATTAGTGAAAAAATAAAACAAAAGAAGAGAATTTTAACAATAAATAAGCTTAATTAATAAAGTAAAATGATTGTAATAAAAAAAATAATAATAAAAAAAATACTATGTGACTGACCCCTAATATTTAGCTATTACGGTACTTTTATAACTTTATAAGCTTTATACTCTTATAAACGCATTATTTTCGTTAGTATTGACAAGCTTAGAATTAAGGCCTCGAAAACCATGTTTATAATGAGCAAAAACTGGTTATTCCTCAAGTGCAGCCACTTTAAGTAACATATATCTACGGACTTCTTGAAAACACTATTAATAATTTATTTTCACTGGTAAAGCTTAAAATATTTTTGGATTATGGAATAACCACGTGGAAGAGATTGTATATTCAAATTAAAAATGTCTATTATGGAGAATAGTCAGTGTCATTAAAAAAAAAAAAAAAAAAAAAAAAAAAAAACAAAACACACACACACACATTTATACATTAATTATTGTAAAATACTTATATTTCATAAGCATTACATAAGAAATTAGCATAACGAATTGCTAATCAATAATTCATCAATCGTATTATAAATTAATAATTAGTTATAAAACTTCTTTGCATTGTTGTTCTTTCAATTATAATCATTATATATTCATAATGTTGTTTAAAAATTTTCATCAAACATTTTCATTCAACTGTCCAAATGCTTATAATTTTCTATTGCTAAATATTTATAATTTAAAGAAATTATTTGTAAACAATTTCTACCAATTTCTTACACACATTTTTCAAAATAATTTCAATGATTACGTTAGAAATATTAACAAAGTAATTTTACTTCAATATATCTTTAGCATAACAAATTCAAGTTTAAATTTGAATTTATAAGACTATATATGTGCTGAGATTAATTGTATTGTTATTTGTTTTAAAAAGTTTCAGAAAACACTGTATCTACATATAGATACGTGAACATTTTAATATTTCCCACTAAAGAGGATATTTGAAATTAATGTTTAAAATTATGAACAATATATGTACTATAAATAAGGAATATGCATATTATTATAATTTATTTATTAACGCTAAAAGCTTTTTGTTATTAAAAAACAATACTCTCTACATTGTTTATATACTTTGCATTTTTGTTTCAATAGGGATTCGAGCATTCAATTGATTTTTTTTTTTTTTTTTTTTTTTTTCGGAAATGTATTAATAATGAATAATAATTATGTAACCTTTTCTATTCAACAGTCGGTAACTGAAATTTAATATTCATTTCATATATATTTTATCATGTTTCAATTCATTAATTAATTCATTAGTAATAAAGCTCCTCGTGCTTTATTACCTCTATTTTAATATACCAAAAACGAAAAAAAAAATAAATATTTTTCTATATTTTTTGGTTCTAAATACTTTCAAAAATCCTTTCTTTTCTATATTTTTATTTACGCCTATTGATCTTTCAAGGTACGTGAGCGATAAAAGATTACATTTTTCTCGTGACAAATCGATAACTTATTCAAATAAATGAAATTGTCAAAATTAACATAGACAATTAAAAACGCTATGAATACATTTAAAAATATAGGCTCGATGGAATTAGTAATTTGTTTAATTGTAACATTTAAACGATGCATTATAATTATAACGTTTGGCTTTCAATGCAAATCTTTCATAAAATTTAAATAGAATACTTGCGTTTTTGTTTATGTTTTTGTTTTTTGTTTTTTTTTTTGTTTGTTTTTTTAAATATTGTATACTATATATATATATATATATTTTTTTTTTCATTGATCAATTAAAAACGATAGTCTGTCTTTTATTTTAATAAATTACGCGGAGACTTAATATATCAGCAGCACGCGTCTATTAAAATTTTACTCCAAGTCTCTTCAATTCTACTACGTCTGTGGCGTTAATAAGCTGTAATAATAATCTCTTCAATGGAGGGCCTGTCAGAACAATAAAAAAAAACAATGACAAAAAAAAAAAGAAAGATTCGCATTGTATGCAGAAAGTAGCCCCTTACTTTAAAGTCCCATCTTAGTCATTGCATCACATGTCGCGCATTCCTCCCCAGGGCGACAATGATTGTTGTGAAAAGTCAATAGTGCGTCAGAATTGGATGTAATTGTCGCGGGCACTCGGCAATGTTCGCGCCGTTGCAACAGAATTGCCCTCTGTCGTCTGGACATCGGGCGAGAACGTACTGTTGGTGCGCTCGATAATGACCAAACAAAATTGGAGCGGCGTCGTAGCGCAACTGGGATACTCGGATTACCCGAGAGTGACCGCCGCGGATTATTATAACGCGTACGTGCGCGGCTCTAATCAAGCGAAATAATTTCCCGTAGCTTATGAAATTATGTGGCATTAAACTCGCGGCCGACAGCTCAATTTCTTCTCGGTTAATGGCCAAGAAGACATATACATAGCCGCGGTCGTCCCTTCATATTCTGCATTTACGAAAAATGCCCGACATCCTGACAAATCTGCCTCCGATAATATTCGAGGCATTTTTTTTACGATGCTTAACAAGCTCGTGTATTTGCCACTCGCTGTAACTATTTTTGTAATTTAGAGCACCATGAGATTTTCGACAAATGGGTCGCGTCGGCTCGAGAACTCATTCGTTTTGTTATTAAAAAGTCGTTAAACTTTGAATGAAAATATTAAAGAAAATTCCACGATGGTATGCTTTAGGGCCGGTGTATTTCATAAAATCATTCGTTACCTTAGAATTAACAATAATCGAATGATATTGTCAACAGCAGCAGTAGCAGCAGGAACAACAACAACAACAACAACAAAAATAATAATAAAATGTAGACAATTGACATTTGCAATTAGATATCGTTAGAAATAACGGATTGAACCGCGAATTTGGCAATTGTTTATTAAATTGTTACATAACTTACGCAACTTTCATCACCACCACCACCACCCCCCCCCCGCCGACCCATAAAACTAGTTGCAAGGAGAAGCTTTACCATTCGTGTAATTTTACAATAGAATTATCAGGGATATATTATTATCAACTGTACACAACGGTTCGTCATTCGATTTTTAAGGACATCGACAATGCCCTCCTCGTGGTTTTATTTATCGCACACGCACAACTTTATATTAATTTATAATCAATGCAATTAGGCATAATAAGAGTGAAATAATAGTAATCGTGCTTTTGAAAGGATAGTTTAGACAAAGCTTCGTTCTCTGTGATACATTTTGTCGTATTACTCACATGTTAAATTTCACTCAAACTCAAATTTCAATCTCGCTCAATTTCAATCAAAACTCAAAACATTTGATGAAGCGAGAAGTTTTTCTAATAACTAGTGCGCGATTTTAATGACATTAGAGAAATCCAATAGTATATCGCAATACCTACGTTAAGTTACTTAGAGAAAAGAAAAAATAAAATAACTAAATAAAAATAAAGAATAAAAAACACAAAGTAAGAAATCGAATCCACGATGGCGATCGAGTAAAATAATTTAAATCCAATACTTATATCAAATGTCTACCGTTTCTTACATTTTCTCTTTCTCTACGCATTCCAGTACGCGTATCACATTGAAAGACAGTTAAGACACTTACATTAAATAACGGTGGGGGGGGGGGGGGAGAAAAAGAAAAAGAAAAAGAAAATGAAAAAGAAAAAGAAAATAAATAAATTTAACAAAAATGCTACAAAACCAGCAAATACAGAAAATATAACGACCGAGTTAAACTTTTCAAACTTTGGAACGGCATACATTTTCAAATAACATTAATCTTCCCTTTTAACTTTATAAAAGTGTGTATGTGTAAGAAGAAAAAAAAAGGAAATGCAAAACAAGAAGAAGAAAAAAATTAAATCATGCAGACATTGTATTATTATTTATCAGAAAATTCTATACATTTCCAAAGTCTATGAATTACCGTACACAAGAGGAAAAATACGTGATGCTGAAGTACCTCAAACCTATTACTCTTGAAAACATTCTAAAAATACATTATACCCAGCTGTCTCGAGCGTCGCGCCAATACATTTTATACGATAAGTTCATTTTAACTTCACTCCTTTAATTCGTCAACTGGAGGAGTGCAACAATAATTGCAAAAAGCAATAGCTGACGAAGCGATGATAATCGTAATTTTTATCCTAATTTTTAAAGGATCCAAGTCATCGCGACTGGAGGCGACTAAAGTTGATATTTCACAGCAATCCCGATATAAACAGAGCGGTAAAAAATTAAATAAATAATTAAATAAATAAAATACAAAAAACGCAAAAGGCGAGAAGAAAAAGAGGCAAAGGGAGGGGAAAAATACTCAAGACTAAGCTCCAAGTTTTCAAGTAACAACGGGATCCGTGTGTGTACCAGGTCGCTTGGGCATTACGAATAAGCGAATCCCAGCCAAATAGCGTGTACATCCGAGCATCACCGGGACTCCGCCGTTGCAAACATTTCTCCCTTTCTGATCGTGCAATCGTCGTCTCCGCTCGCTTTACACGCCGCGCACACATTATCCGCGCTGATATTACTCTCTCTCACTCTCTCACGCTCTCTCACTCTCTCACGCTCTCTCATTCTCTCACTCTCTCACGCTCTCTCACTCTCTCTCTCTGTCTCTTACTCTCTCTCACTGTCTCTTACTCTCTCCTTCTCACGCACGCACGCACGCACGCACGCACGCACGCACGCGCACACACAGGTATCGCATTACAAAGGCCGGCGCGCGTTTGCTTACAAGCGTCCTCCTCCACGGGCAGGTGCGAGCGCGGAGGCCCCGTGCGCGTGCAGTTAGGCGATGTTGTAGCAGCCAAACTCAGGCCGACGGAGACAGAGACAGCGACTACGAGAGCGAGCGAACGAGCGAGGGAGGGGCCGGGGGCCACGAGGTCGGTGTGGGGTGGTGTGGGGGGGAAAGTGCCTACCCCGTATCGAACGCGTGGACACGCGAAGCGCATCTCGTCGGAGGCAGTGCTCGCGCTGCGCTGGACGCGACCGGCAGTCAGTCACTCGCACTGCCCGGCTCTGATAAGCCCACGAGGAGGAGTTGTTGCACTCGCGGCCGTCGTCGATTACAATGTCATTGGGCCCCATTACGTCACGCCGACGATAAGATCCGACTTTGGGAGGAGGGCGGCTGCGCAACCTCGAGACTTCGGCTCGATAGCGTAAATATCGGAGCGGTTGTTGCACGGCGGCGGCGCTCGCTTTCGACGGACGGGCTTTGGCTTCCTCGTGGGCTTTTTCACGTTTACGAGGGAGGACGAGAAACGCGGTAGGTTCCGGGGCGTCCGGGAGCTCGGGCGGCGCCAATTTTTTTTTTTACGAATAGGAACCGCGCGCTGTGAACGGAAGGCGCATTAGCCGCGGCGACGGGCCGTTCGATAAATCGAGCTCGGACGCTAAATGAAATTGTCGAGGCGCGATTATCACTCGCGTTTACGTTTACTTGGAGAAGCCGCTGCTGCGCATCGCGACGACTCGATTAGGTCGATGCGCCGCTGTCGTTGCTTTTGTCAAGTAGGCTTCGCTCGTGGCGCAAGTAAGGATAAGGGAATCAACTCCAGTGGTAATAAATAAATGCCAGAGAAAAGACGGGAAAGCCCACCCTGTACGTCACTCGTTCCAATAGACGCCACGGTACACGGCGATGTAAAACGATAAAGCGAGCGAGCGAGTTTCTTTCACTACGAGGGTCGAGCGCTATCCCCCTCCCCCAAGCCCTTTGTCATCATCCGTGCGCCCGCCCAAAATGCGCACTCCTCGTTAAAGGGACGAACGGACGAACGGACGAACGGACGGACGAACGGACGAACGGACGAACGGACGGACGGACAGACGGACGGACAGACGGACAGACGGACGGAAGAACGGGCAAACGGGCGAACGGGAGAAGGAGCGAACGGATCGTTATTGTAGCTTACAGACGGATGTCGGATGTACCGATGTGAGAGCCGAGGTAGTTTGGAGCGGGCGACGCGCCGAGTGTCGCGCTCGATCGCCAGAGGCAGTGCTCGAATGTAGTGGTGCGACGGGTCGTGGTCGTGTGCCGTTGGCTCGCACACGGAGCGAAATAGTCGATCGATCGAATGGGGGAGAGAAGCGGCCGTTATTGGGTCTCTCGAATAGCAGTGACGATGCGCATCGAGGCCCGCGGGCTTCCGAGCTTTTAATGGAAGCTTCGCAAGACAAGCCGAGGCGCTTACACGAGGTCAGTGCTAGAGCGACACTCGCGATCAGCTGCCCCTCTAGAGCCGTTGAAGGACGAGAAGGAGGAGGAGGAGGAGGAGGAGGAGGTGGTGGTGGGGAGGAAGTTGGGAAAGGGGAGGGGGGAGAGGCCGGGGATGAAGCGAATCGGTCGGGCCGGTGGTCGTTGTACGAGCAAGTGTTTAAGTTCGCGTATGAGCATCAATTACACAGCTTGTGCAGGAACAGAGGAGGGGGAGGAGGAGGAGGAGGAGAAGGAGGAGGAGGAGGAGGTGGTGGTGGTGGTGAAGGAGGAAGAGGTGGTGAAGGAGGAGAAGGAGGAGGAGGTGGTGGTGGTGGTCGTGGTGGTGTAGGAGGAGGAGGGGGAGGAGAACGACGAGGAAGAACGTATCTTTGGACTTTGGTGGAAGAGGGAACATGACGGCACCCGAGCCGAAGGCCAGTTCCACCTCGTCCCCGGGCTGTCGTATTTGCTACGAAGGTAAATTGCGCTCTCGCGCCCGAGTTAATGTGATTCCAGCCGCGGATCTGAATTTAATGAGCGCGATGATGATTTTACGGGGGGTCGATTGCTAAACACGATGGGCGAGCGTAAATTGCAACGGCGTTGGACGAAGCTCCCCCGAGCTACTCCCAAGCTCATTGCTACGTGAAATCCGATAATCAAGGAATCTCATTACCGCGCTCTGTGAATTTCTACAATTTTCAGCTACGTGCGTTACGACGTGCGATTATATTACTCGTTTGTGCTATGATGTTGTCTCGGTGGGGCAAGTATATTTCATAAGCGATCGTTTGGTTTTTACGCCTATAAAGGCCCTCTTGCTCAAGTAGGCCGTCCTATCCTTCCAAACTCGGTGATATAGTTGCAAAAGTTTTTACATTTCTATTTTCGAAATGTCGGTAGTATTTTGCGCCGAGCAGCTCGTACGTGTCACACGACCACAAGCGCGGACACGTGCTATTTAAAATTAATGGTGAAGAATACGCGTATAAATAAGAATATGTGGCGCCATTGTTGTTAAAAATAGTAATGTAATTGCAGAGAATCTTATTACATAAGCAGATTGTTACAAGATTATGAAGATGAAAAAATAATAATATCAAAGCGGACGCGGCGGTCAATAATTGTATGTATGTTTGGGCATCGTTTGACGCGCTATGTTTATCGATTACGACAACAAGCAGTTTTATTTGCTCGTTTGTTTGTTTTTTGTTGAGAAGACTGAGATTTCTGTATCGATGTCTGTTAAAGACATGCCGAATAATAATAACGGTAGCAGCATTAAGAATAATAGCAAGAATAATAGCAAGAACAATGTTGATGATGATGATGATTATTATTATCATCATCATCATCATCATCATCATCATCATCATCATCATCATCATCATCATCATCATCATCATCATCATCATCATCATCATCATCATCATCATCATCATCATCATCATCATCATCATCATCATCATCATCATCATCATCATCATCATCATCATCATCATCATCATCATCATCATCATCATCATCATCATCATCATCATCATCATCATCATCATAATCATCACGATAATAATATGGTAGAAGAAAATAAACTAGATTTATCTCTTTAGAAAGTGAATTTTCAAATATTGTAATGTTAGTATGACCGCTAATATTGTACATTGCGGTTAAATGTTTTTTATTAATGCGAGATTCCATGTACTGATACACATATGCTTATTTGCGCGTAAAGATGTTTGTACGTATGCGTAGAAGCAGATACGCGCGGACACTTTTATTGTAATTGACAATAATAACCGTGATTTATGCTTGTGGTAGTAAGCATTGTCAAGACATTTTACTACCCTACTGATTTCGAGGAAAATATTAGATTATTATTAATGGTTGTCTACCTCCGGTAAAACTTCATTGTATTACAATAAACAAATGAACATTCTCATAATAACAATAATAATTGATTCCGAGAGATTTTCAATATTATTACGATTTAATTTTACTATTTACCATTTACTATTTAGTGGGAAAATTTTTATCTAAATATATATTCTTAAACGATAGTATCACAATGTGCTTGAATTTCATATTTAAGAATTCAATTTTTCAATGAATCAGAATAAAAGAGAAAAAAATTACAGACACGCGCGCAACACGATCTCATACACGCCCAGCTATTGCCATAAAAACGTTATTTACTTTGCTTCTTCTCATTGCCACAATAAAATTACGTAACGATATGTATTAAACATTATAATTTGTCAGCTAATGTATTACAATTTCAGCACGATTTGCATGGAAATTTAAGAGAGAAATAACATGTGATTTATAGAGAGTGGACTCTTATAATTGAATGATACGATTTTAATAATAAACTTATTTTTATCTGTAATGGTGAGAACGATCGCATGTAACATAACCGAATTGATAATTCAGTATTATGGAATGCTCTAGTTCAAGCAAAATATGCGCTTTTTAGAGTAATCGTTCGTTTAATGAAAAATTAACGATCAATCTTAGTTTGGATATCTCTTGAAGAATATCACTTGATTATTGGAGCATGTTTATCGGCAATAACGAAAACCTTAAACTAGTTCGTGCAATATGTCGACGTTCCAAGAACTTTTGAGAGATCGTCGTTACATATCCGACTGAAATTCAGCAATTTAACTTGAATATTTTGTACTTTATTTAGCGTTTTAACGTCGATCAGTAAAAATATCTATTAGTCGATAATGTTGCACATCTACAAGCACACCAATAAGGAGGTTATTCATAATAAAACTAAGAAGATCAATTTGCGCTAAGTTTTATTAAATGAATATTTCATTGGTTTCTTTCATTCAGTAGTCCCACACAAATTTCATTAAAAAAAAAAAAAAAAAAAAAAAAAAAAAAAAAAAAAAAAAAAAAAAAAAAAAAAAAAAAAAAAACTTAAAATGAAAAGAAAAATATTAAACTTTTTTTATTTCATTCTTGAGCTGAAAGGAAGGAATTTTTTTTTTTTTTTTTTTTAATCGACAAGAGGGTCAAATGTGTCGTATTTGATATCCATAAATCTAATCGGGATATTAAGAAAATAATAAGATCCACAAGCTTTGATATCATCAAATAGGTACTTATTTGACATTTGACATCATTTGACAAGTAACTTCCTAATAAAGAAAAAAATCAATTTCACGTAGACCCCACTGGCCTAACATAAATTTACTTAAATAATTTAACTTGCGAACGGACGGGCTCCTTTATAGGATAAGATAATTAGGCGCAATAAACGTAGCGCACATACGCCCAAATAACAAGATCATACAAACACGAGATGATAAATTAGATAATACGCGAGCCCAGTCTTCTCAATATTGAAGAATCGACTGTCACGATATTATTTATTCGGTATACTTCGATATATGGACAATACTAAGCTATATAAAAAGAAATTTGCGTAACGATTGCTCGACACAATTGCCATCGGGGAATTTGTGTAATACGCATAGTAAAGGATGCATCGGTCGAAACGACAATCCGACGGTTCACCAAAAGCCTGTAACAGCCAGATAAATAGCCGGGCGACTCAAGGGATGTTTATTGGTAGTACAAAAGCTATTTATCGAAACCTCGCAAGCTCAATCCCTCCTCGTGTCCAAGGAGGATGATGAAGCACGATTGTAAGCGACGCGCAAAGCCAGGAGGAGTTTTCGCGGTGATCACCCGGCGGCTTCGAGCTCGCTCGACGAATTAGATAACGCGCGCCTCTGCAAAACCTCGGCCTGGCCTTACCACCAAGCGGAAGCGCTGGGATAGTGAATTGAGCGGCATGCCGAGGATGGAGGAGAGGGAGGATGAGGAGGAGGAAAGAGAGTAGCAGGGGAACCGCCGTGCGTCTCCGCGACTTCCGTAGCATTGAGGCGAAACAATGAACCGCGTCTGCGTTTGGTTAGAAGCCGAACAAAACGGTTCCGCCGGAGGTTAAATGGTTGCTCGTCCTCGAGGATATCCTCGATTAACCCACTTTCGAGGTAAGCGAAGCGAGCGACCCGATGAAGAATGCCATACGCTGGAGGCGCGGCGGGATTACATCGACGACGACTTTTCTCTCGTCCACGGGAGGGGAATCCCGTGGCGTTCCGATATTCTTTTGGCGTACACATTTCGCACGATCTTCGCCTTGGCTTTTATCCGCTTTTATCCTCGCGCTCCTCGCGCTCCTCGCGCTCCTCGCGCCTTTTCCATCGGCAATTTATCGTGTTCGAGCAGTTTGACCGTTGTACTTCGGAGTACACTGGCCTTTCCAATTGTCACTTTTACAAGCGGATATTGCAATTACCGGCCAACGATGCTGACGTGCTCGCGAGCCTTCTAAAAGTCTCGAAACGTGTATCTTGGCAACGCTGACTTTCGTCGTACAAAGAAATTACGATGAAAAAATCCTCACGATTTACGATTTCTCATAATACACGTCGTTAAAAACAAAATTTTTTACAGCTATAAAACGTGCAACTATGAGCTACACATTGTATAAACAAATTATTAATAATGATTTATAAGCGCATGTGCATGTGTAGAACAGTGTATGCGAAATGTAATAGTGAATCATTGCGATGTGATTCATAACAGGACGTGTTTAAAATTATTAATTATCGCAATCGCCAAGAAAACAATTGGCATGTAATGTCATGTCACTACAAGGAGAGCGACGAAAACTTAACATTGGCTCGTAGACTAATCACATTAGTCTTGCAATTAACGTTTTATTATCCTCAACGATTCACAACATGTGTGAACTTATTACATAATTAATAATTTAAAAAGAAGATACAAAACAAAACAAACGAAAAAATTAAAATTACTTAAACTCTGTAGTTTTAATTTCTTTATGATACATTTTGAAATAATTATTATAAGATAAATAAGCCGTACGCATTCGATAACGTTTATTACAATTTGTTTCTTAAATATGTATTTTTTCGTTACAAAATGATCAGGTAATATACTATTAAAATAAACTATATAATTAATATACGCATACGCGATTAGCATTTATTTATTTATTTTCTTTCATTGCAGAATTTATAAATGATTATTTACACAATGACTTTATTACATGCAGATTAGTTACGAAATTCATGATTAAAGTTAAGAATTATTTTTACTCTCTTTTCGAGCTCTATCTCATCAAAAGTTTATTATAATGATAGTTTATCCCAACAAAGTATATAAACAGATATTTCGTATATACAAAAAAAAAAAAAAAAAAAAAAAAAAAAAAAAAGAAAGAAAGAATAGAGTAATTTGTAATTTATATCTTATACTTTATTATTTAGCGTAATAATGAAAAAGTAGATATTACATTTTTCAATGTTGCTCACAATAATATAATATTGTTAAATAATGATTTTGTAATTTATACACATGTGTATGTTATATCATAATAAGTGAATTTGAAAATTTTAAACCTTAGAGTTTATGATGAAAATCAATTTTATAATAATACTTCCAATATAAATGAATTTTAAATAGAATAAAAATCCTTGAGAGTCATTGTAACATAAGAAACAAAATGCGTGAAATTAAATTTGTTTTGTTTTTTTTTTTTTTTTTTTTTTAACAATTGTTTATCCCTCTATTCAACAGATTATAACACAATTTAATCATGCACTCTATAAATGTAGATTTCCTTAAAGTTTTAATAATAGCACTAATCACATCTTAATAATAGATAGAGACTAGATCGGATCAAGAAGATTGCTATTATTAACGAAACAAAAAAAAAAAAAAAAAAAACAAAAAAAATGCTCATTTTAATCTATTTCATATATTATCGTCGTGCATGGATATGATTAATTGCAGTGTAATTAATTCGATTTTACAAGCTGTCCTAGGAAAGTAAAATGTCGCGTTTACTCGACTTACCTTTATAAATTGAAAATCGTGTCATTGAGAGCTTTGTTAGAGCTAGACAGTTGTTAACTAATAGCTGTCTCTGTCAGAGGCCGTCCCGTTCTACGCAAATTCTTCTTTAGCAATAAATGCCATAAAGTCATTAGAGTCATCTAAATACTTTTATTTATTGACACGCGCGAGTAATGCACGACCTCGACCTCTAAAGTCGGCAAAGTATTTTAATTGACGACGAGACTGGCCGAAAATTAGGCAGCACGTTGGTGAAGTTCGCTGGCCAGTGGCTCAATTGACCGAGATAGACAGAATGATACATAGAGAGATAGAGATAGAGATAGAGAGAGAGAGAGAGAGAGAGAGAGAGAGAGAGAGAGAGAGAGAGAGAGATAAAGGCTTATCTTTTTGTCCTGCATTTAGATGGGACGTCGGAGGAGCTGATAGAGCCGTGCGAGTGCTCGGGCACTCTGGGCCTCATCCACGCGAGCTGCCTGGAGAAGTGGCTGTCCACGTGGAACACCGACCGTTGCGAGATCTGCAAGTACGGATTCGCCGTGGAGCGCAGGTGCAAGCCCCTGCCCCAGGTACGCATTATTACGTCATTACGGCCACGTACGGCCCAGTGATTTGCAAGCGTCGCGGCGCGCATCTGCCGTCTCCGATTCCCGCGCGCACGCGATTCGCATACGTCGCGCACCCTCGCTTCCTCCACCTCCGCCGCTCCATTCGCACGGATAGGCATGCGGTGGCTGCCTCGGGACTTCTTGTCGATTTCCCCGGGCCAAGCCAAGGCATTATTTTACCCGCTCGGGTCATCCATTATCGATGCTTCGGTCTGCCGTCGCTCGATTACCAAGGAACGCGGTGGCGCGTCGAGGTGGTGAATTCCGTTCACGAGACCCGTCGCTCATGGAATACCTACGCACCACGATGAGTTATGGGTATTAATGGTGGTGGGTGGTGGACGTGTCAAGCGAGCTGGCGTTTGTAGAATTTCCTTAAAATCAATAAGTCGCTGCGAATTGCACGGCCGATATAATAAGGATATTCGGTCGAACGAGAGACGCCATTTGTAATGGATTTGGTTGTGAATGTTTGTGAACCTAGCGTTAGGCTCGCGCGACGCTTTCCCAAATATCACGGGTATCGCGCTGCAACGAGTAAATTAACAACAAAAACCCCACGAAACTAAACTAAATGAAAAGGAAGAAATCAACAATGTACCTCCTCGAAACCTATCGCCCGTGCATAATGTTCAAAGGATCTTGGGAAACACAGGCAGCTTCGCCAAAGGGAATTTCTGCTCGTGCATTCTTAGGCTCTTGTGATACTGAATCAAAACAATAGGCTTTAAATTGATAATGTAAATTGTAATACATACGGGAACGTTTACATGGCTCTCGGAGAAGTTACCGTTGAATTTAGAATTAGCATTATCCACCTCAACTCATCTGTACACATAGTAACGACAATAGGCGAAGATTTTCAAATGTAAATAGCTAAAATCTTCCACTTTATTTATTCTACAATGAATTATTTCAGCACCCTCGGGAGCCATTGAAATTTTAAGCTCGAGTTTCAACGACTAATTTTTCAACCATTTATTCGTTTCATTTATCGTCGCGTCGTCACCGCGAATCTTTAACAAGCATTCGCCTTAGTCACGTTATCATCGATTTAATCGCTCACCTCGCGAATTCAACAAACTATACTTGGAAAAGGATTAACGCTCGCTTACCGACGCGGATTCCCATAGTTAGTTTATTTTAATGGACTTAAAAGTTTTCAATATTGACAATGGCCGAACATTATTATTGATATCTAATTCAGGCTTTGATAATAAGCACGGCACAATGCTTTACGCGTCTTGGCCGCCAAGGCCCCTCGTCTCTTTATTCTTTATCCGTCAATCTGAAATCTGAAATCACGGTCATTAGCATGGCAAAGAATGACGTAAAGAGAAGAAGAATTTATTGGCTAAGCCGCAGACACTGGAACTCAGTCGTTTTCGTAAGCACAATGCTCACAAAGCGCACACAATGGGGGTCGCTCTTGATTTTCCCATCGCGCATAATCTCAGCGGTTGTATTGCCAATCCTTTTCATAATGCGCTTGTCCAGATATTCCGTGGAGGGAGATGAATTAAATCGGTAATACGCGACGCTCGAGCGCTTCACTCCCATGATAATACCAGAGCACATTATCATCGGAGGGGAACCCAACCGCCGTTCGTTTTGAATTTCAAATTACGAGCGAGGAACGGAACCCCTTTTCGCGATAAAAATCCATAGCAAACTTATATGTACATATGGTCGTATGCGGCGATCGGGACGTATCGCCGCCGTATTATGTCCCGCCCGTGCAAACAAAATATTCTTCTTAATAATTTGAAAATGAATTGGCTGCTTTGTTAGGCGACCTAATGTCGCTGCTAACGACTCCTCTCAAATTTCCTTTCCAGCTGTTTTCATACATTTTCATTGTCTTTTTTTTTTTTTTTTTTTTTTTTTTTTTTTTTTTAATTATCGCTTATACGGTACTACTTATATTTATAATTTTGTAATTCGCATGTCCCTACTACTAGCCCATATATACATAAATAGTTTAAAAACACAAAAACAATGCTTTCTCATGTGCGTTACTCTTTGATAGAGATCGGTTTGTCAATTACAAACAATGGGTACAATCTTTCGTAAGCAAAATTACGTAAAGCTCCTTATATTCCAAGATATATTTAATATTTTACTGTAATGTTACTATTAATAAGACGAAAGTGAATATAAAAATATTTTGTCCATTGTATAAAAGCGAAGCGCGCGTTTGAAGTTTTATGTTACGATAAGACAGTTACTTTTACGACTAATATAATTATAAGCAGCATGCATTCACTTTCTTCAACTTTACAATTCTTTCACATCATATCACTGCCTTTTATATATACACATCCATGTTTGTGTGCGTGTTTGCGCGAGCGTGTATACAAAGTTCTAAATACGCTATACGCATTTACAAATATTTTATATAAGATGTACCTATAATTATTAATTGCAAACACTTGTATCATTATTGGTACATTCATTTTTATAACAATTTTTTAACATTCACTGTTGGGTAATGTTTGCCATCTATTTAAAATTAAAAAAAGAAAAAAAGAAAAAAAAATATCTACACAACTTCAAACACTTAAATGCATTAATTTATCAAGAATTCTTTAATAACTATGCTTACTCATTTTTATTACAAATTAATAATAAGGATAACATAAACTATACTTATGATCATATATTAAATTCAATTTACTACATGTACTAATTTTACCTAATTTAAATAAAGATTAGATTTACATCTGCAAAATAACTATGCACAAATATTTATACAATCTTTTAAAATCTCGGTATAACTATATAAAATAAGTAAAAACTTTCTAGTCATATTAATATACATTTGCAAATAAGATATAGAAAAATTTATTTACAAAATTGTACGTTTAAGTGAAAATTAAGCGAATGCGAAGAGGAGGAGCTCATAAGCGGTCGAATAACTTCATCGGGATGGCAATTATAATTGCCATTGTATTATCATTAAATAATGAAATTGAAAATGTTTACAAGGTCGTTTGTGCCTGGAAGCGTGCCAGTAATATCGGGAGAAGTCGTCGGTCATGCATTAGCATTACGCTTATAACCGCCGAATAGAGAATAGAGTCGTCGGGACTCATATCCCCCGAGAGAACACGATGCAATTGTTAAGCCGCGAAAGCCTCGGGCAAAGAGAGAGAGAGAGAGAGAGAGAGAGAGAGAACTGAGAGGGCAAATACGAGCAGACTTGTAAGACATGTTCTATTTTGTATTGCAGTCTTTGTGCCAGTGGTGGGGCACGCGGGGCCTCTATGGGCCCCAGGGCGTGACGAGTGACGCCGTCTGCCTGGTCGTCCTGACGCCGTTCTGCCTCGCAGCGACGTATCTCTGTGGCGTAGGTGCGACCGCATACGCGCGTCTCGGCTTCTGGGAAGGCACGGGCCTTGTCATCCTCTGCTGCATGCTTGTCGCCACTTACTTCCTCTGGCTCTTCGTCATCGCCAGGTAAGCCAACGACCGGAAAGCGTCCGGATCCCCGGTATAGCTCGGCTGCGTAGCTTACTCTCTTGCTCTCGTCGTCGTACGCTTTGTCCCAATAGGCAGGCCACTATTAGTTCTGCCTCTGATGTCATGCCGCTTATCTTCGTCTTTCAATACTATAAAATATAGTGTGGGATAGCTGCCTTTTTCCCTGTATCTTTCCTCTCTCCTCCTTCCCCCCCCCCCCCCCCCCCCCCCCCCCCTGTTTCCCGCATCTTTTTTGTTACTCTTGTTACTTTGCACTCGGCGCTCGGCGTTATTTTATTACTCTACCAGTGATACTTACAGCGCGGTCAATTTCGATCAACTCGACCGTTCAAAGCTACCGATATTTTCCTCACACTTATTCTTTATACTCTCTTTACATTTTGAAGCATTTATCTCTACGCACAACGTTGTAAACTATTTCATAACGGGTTTACGTCCCGCTTTAAAGATTTCTTTCAAGTTTAATAATACGAGTATTAAGATATTTTGAAAAGACGGATTAATTTTATTAGATCATTCACTGCTAGAAAGTGGATTGAGCAAGTTGTCATTTTTTTTTTTTTTTTTTAAATAATCTGCACAAAGCTCATATCTTCGAATAAAAGTTAAGCCTTCAAAGCGCCTCGATGTTTATACACGAGACAAAGTCACTTGAATTTGTCTTTTAAAATTTGTCATCACATTCAACGTCAGATATTTTCGGATTTTCGGATATTTTCTATTTTTACATTATACCGTACCAAGTTTTAAATTTCTGGAACGCTCCGCTAAGGTCGATCTCATTCGCCTCGGAGTCGTGTAAATCAGAATAGTGCTTTATCTTAAAATGATAAAGGTCAATGACAAAGAGCTTTGTAAAATGTAATTTTATCATTATTTCACTATTGTAATGTTATTAATCCGCATAGGACAAAACTATATATATATATATATATATATATATATATATATATATATAATTAGGCGTGAATGAAAGGAGTTAATAATGTTTCGATCGTTTGATTAACAATTCAAGCGATAAACATTATTTATTACTCCATAGCGATTAACGATTAACGCGACATAAATAAGGCTATAATGTAAATAGTCCTATATTATAATTTCAGATTTCATTACAAATCTTGGAAGCAATGGTGTAAGCGCAACCAAGACGTGAGATTACTTGTCAAGTGCAAAATCCCAAAGGAATGTCAGGAAATGGCAAAAGACGAATGTAATCCGAGTGATATTGAAAATGATAGATTTTCCAGCGATGAAGGGTTCAACAGACTGTTCGGATGGTTCAATGGTTCACTCACCCATCAGCCGGAACCCGTATACAATTTTCAGCAGCAAACAGCATTCGTGTGATTACTACTGTCGACGTTATCTTGAGATTGTATCACAAGCCATTTAACGACATTTTTATCGTCCATGTGTATTTTTAATACGTATCGCGATGTAAAAAAGTAAAAACAAATTGTTTTAAAGTACTGCATGGATAATGCTCTCAAAAATACAGTAAAGTTCTCATAGATGCTTTTATCATAATTTAATTAAATATAAAGCGTTAGAATTTCAGATAGAGAAATACAGAATTGATAAAGAGTAAGTAATACGTCCGAGCTGCTCGTTAATTCGGTAATTATAAATGTAGAATTTCAACAGAGCAAGCTTTTGTATCTCTAACCTTCTGATAGAAGGCTAAACTAATATAGAATAAATAGCATTCGATACGAATGCATTGAACATAATATAAAAGCAATTCTAAATATCTCGTATGTTTAAAAAAATCTATTTCACATTATCGAATCAATACATTCTTCGACTTTGTGCATCTACCTATTTATTCATGAATAAAAATACAATAAAGTAGTTACTAAGTTGTAATATGTAAATATGAACAATGATATTATCACATTCGTAATTATATATAAACGCATTGCTTTGATTTTAAGTTTTTCTTACTGGAAAAGCTACTGAAAAAGCCTTAATTACAATTAAGGTTGCGTATAAACGAAATGAAAAATCAAAAGTATTCACTGTACATTGCATTGGATTAAAAAAATATAAAAACGGGATTCTTACTATGATTGTATGTAGTATTTAAAAAAAAAAAACAATTTTTTCTATTGTAATTATGCCATAACAAAAATTATGTTGTATTTAAAAATTTAATTATACAAGAGTTTTTTTACAATAAATATTATTTTTATAGTAAAATATTTTTCAATTTATTGAGATATAACGATAATTCTGTTTCAAATTCTCTATAAAACATTATAATTTTAGATCATTGAATTAGGTAGATAATGAACTTTATAATATATCGATAATAGGCATTCCAACATTCCCATTTATTACCATAATCATTTTAAAATAATTTAATTAGATCTTTAATGCAATTACGTAGAAAAATTCGATTTTCGAAATTCGATAATTACGATCTACTACAACTACTTTCCTTAACAAGTATTTCACTTTTTGGCTAACAAATAGATATTATTATTGCATATGACAATATTTATTGACCTCTAACATTATAATATTTGTCCAAAATAATGGTATTTGTGCATTGATAAGAATATGATGTGTTAATATAAAATAACAATTTATTTTTCATTGTTTCTCTAAAAAGTAAACAATTTTAAATTAGACATTAACAGTAGTTATGCCGTGTAAAAATAAGCTTTGCACTGTGCCATTTATTTATTTGGACAAATTTATTTTCAATAATGTTCTATGTTCCTGAAATAAAAAAAAAAATAACAACAAGTATGTTCGTTTAAACATATTAATATTCTTTTAAACATAACTATAATTAAATCATTTTGTTAATGTATATTTTTTAATATGGAAAACTTTATGTAACTTACTTCATGAATTCGTATTATCACTTAAATATTAAATTGAAAAATGAAGATAGCAAGTACAGATATCAATTATTTTTATCATGTCAAAAATATTATTTGAATTATACTTTTCAAATATTCGAATTACTAAAATATAGAAAATATATAGGGCTTACAATAAATCTCTATAAAGAAATCTATAGAATTTTATTACTTTAATTTTAAATAAAATAAAATAAATGTAATTTTTAATCTTTAACATTAAAAATAAGCAATCATCTTCTCACATCATTATCATTTTATCGATAACAAATAATATAAAATAAAGAAATATTTAATTTTTTAATTTTTCTTAAAAGGAAAAGTTTTAAAAAATAATTTTATATTAGTGCAGCAATATTTAAATAAATCATTGATCTTTTTTCTTTCTTTTTTTTTTTTTAATTGTTACAGTTATATGTATCTGTTTTCTTACTACCTACTTCATTATAGTTATAAATGTAATCGATGCTAATTTTACTTTCTAGTATTTACTTAATTGCTTTAGAAAGAATAAAATTTCATAGTAGCCTAAATAGTTGAAAAAGCGCAAAAGTATTATTACGTTAAATTACTATAAATTTTATTATGGAATAAATATAATTTTATTGAGTATTTTTATGTATTTTTCGAATAAAATTATTAAGAAAAGAGAAAAAAGAAAAAACTTATAAAATTATTTAATTTTATTTATCTGAATAAAACTTGTATTAATACTTTCTTTCATTAACTTCGTATGGTAAAAAATGTAATTTCTCTAGAAAGAGAAGAGAATTTAATATATAAAATATGTGGTTAAATTTGTATGTGTATGGTGACGTAGAAACAAATTATTATTTGTTCATAATTGTCATAATTCGCTAAATTCCTAGCAATATTTTAATTGCAAATTTAAAACTATTATACCTCTATATATATATATATATATATATTTTTTTTTTATGTCAAGGTTTTCTAAGAGAGATAAGTATAAGAGGCTTTTTAATAAGGTGCATTAGATTCATTGTATTGCTAGTTTCTCAACGCCTACTTCGTCTGCCCATTCGTGAATGAAAAAATAAGATCAGTTATAAAAGAGAATTTGTAAGAACTTTTAATAGAATTTTATATGTAATATGAAGTTTATCCGATGGAAACGAAGTAACGTAAAATCAATAATAATCTAGTTTAAAGCTTTATAAAACTATCGATTATTTATATTCTGCACACTTGATCATTAATTATCATAAAGCGTATAATTAATTCAAATTGTCAATGTAATCGAGATTGCGCAATTATTTTAATGCGTCTTGACGAATGATGGTGAATTTTATTCTATTGTAATTAAATATCTTGAAACAAAATTGTCCGCAAAAGATTCACTAAATAAAGTCAAATGTATTACCATGAATATACAAAGAATAGTAAAACTATCATCAATATACAGAAAATTCATTGAAATCGAAATAGTTAATGTATTATTTTGTAAAGAAAAAAACAAATTTTGTTTAAAATGTAAGTTTTAAAGAAGTTAAATTATCCGTTACTCACACGGTCAATGATTAATATACTATTTTCGGACGAGGACATCTAGTTATATTATTATGACAGCAGTTGTAACTTACCTTCATACATAGTACATAATGCGACATACTGACCCGTAATCCAATTTTCAACAATTTCATTCGATAGAGGTGTTTAATCTGTAGTTAAAACTTTATTTTTTGTATCATTTATATTCAACGACTTATGCAGTTAGAATGGCTTGCTCTCCTTCTAATAACTTATAATTCTACATTATTTCTATACGCGAAATCGATTTCTAATGAAAATTATTTATACAAAATTGTTTATAGAGGATACTTTATACTTTTTAATAGTTCTAAAAATTAAAATTTGTGTACATAATCTTGTTTTTATATAATTTCGATTTGTGGTGTTAGTATTTTTACAAATATGAACTAGGATGATTCGTTCATTAATTCTTTTAATTATATAAAATTATGTACTATTTAAATTTAATCAATTTTTTTTTTTTTTTTTTTTTTTTTTTTTTTTTTTTTTATTTTAAAAATCAAGCATATGTAATAGATATAATTGAGAAAAATTTTTTTTTCATTCAAGATAATGCGATAAAGTATTTTTTTTTTTTTTTAAGTCATTTGAATATAATTTGTTAAGCAATGATGAATATACGAATATAATTTTTCAAAATTTACAATTACTTTTATTTGTACATTACAATAATAATAATACATTTTGATATGATATTTTTATCTACCTGTATTCAAATTTTATACCATTTTTATCGATAGACTCAAAAATTGTGCAATAATCAATAACGAACGTAAAGATAATATATTCATATAAAATTTTAAATACGAATTATAAATTGTTAAATAAATTAAAGTCATACAAAAAAGTAGTTTATATAAATTGTAATAAATATTATTCAATTGGATATAATACTTAATTATTAAATAAGTAGAATTTATTCCATACAGCCATAATTAAAAAATGGGTTTATTTTTATAATTAAAATCAATTTTATACGATTTATCGCAATAAATAATCGAATGTATATCTATTTTTTAGTATATTAATTACGATTGCTCATGTGTTTGTAATAGGATATCTTGTTCCAATTTAAGTAATAATATATCTCAGTGGAATATGAAATACGAGTTTAGACTTCTGAATACTGAAATGTCTTGTATTGACGAATTCATATCTAAAGATGTATCATTTAAATTTTCAATTGAAGTTTGATAGTCAGATGCTTTATCTGTCATTTCATTTTTATTTTTACCTTGTAATAATGTATATTTTCCTACTCGTCTAATTAGAATTTCCCTTAAACGATGTCTTATCATCTAGTCGAACATTTCTTACTATTGCTATTTTAATTTTGAATAATTCATCACTCTGTTTCAATGTATAGATAATTGAAAAATACACGTGTATATACACATAGTGTATAATTTATAATTTCTTTTCATTGATGAGTTGAAAATTCTTTAAAGAAATGAATAGTTGTGCCAGTATTATAATTGTGCTCTTCTTTATCTTTTACTGTATAAACAGTATAAACATAGTATTTTTATAAGTATTTTTATATTATTTAAATTGAATGCATAATAATGATTACGTGAATTAATATAAAAATTCATTTCTTATGTATTTAAATTGTTTCAATACAATATACTTTAATGCATGAAGCATAAAGAATAATTCTATTATGTTTTATTAAAGACTAAAAGATTAAATGGCAATAATAACAATTATAATCTATACACTTATAATTTTAATTATCCGTAGATATTATTGTTCGAGTTTTATAGTGATACAAATATTAAGTAGATTAATTTAAAATTAATTTGTAATTTTTTGATAATTAATATCTTTAATGTGTGTTGTTTGCATTTATTGTAATAGTATATGAATTTTACATTGAATTATCGGAATAAAGAGAAGTGAAATTTTAGGTCGTGTATAAATATTTTTTTAAATTATCTGTATGCAGAGTAATTGTAATACCATCAATTATAAATATCGATAATAATACGATGAGTATTCCGTATTTATTATATTCCCTTGGAACTCATAATTTACTATTTTTCGCTTGTGTTCTTATTCGAATAAGCAATATACTCATTAAAATACGACAATTATTTAATTTAAATTAATGTAATTATGAATATTGAAATACAGTACTTTTTTTAAGGATCTTTTATTATTTTACATTTACTTAAGAAATTTAGGTATAATAGTTTGTAGATTAATTTCCACTTTTATGTTTACAATTGTAATCAATAATACTAAAACTACTCATTTGTCATTAGTAATTATGTATTATATTTTTTAACAATTTTTTCAGTAGCTTAATTATATATGCTTCCATTAATACATAAATAATGATTGATAAACAT